TCGTGTCTATTGGGCATAGCTATAGTGTCGTGTCTATTGGATATAGATATAGTGTCGTGTCTATTGGACATAGCTATAGCTTCGTGTCTATTGGACATAGCTATAGTGTCGTGTCTATTGGACATAGCTTCTGTGTCGTGTCTATTGGACATAGCTTCTGTGTCGTGTCTATTGGACATAGCTATAGTGTCGTGTCTATTGGACATAGCTATAGCTTCGTGTCTATTGGGAATAGCTATAGTGTCGTGTCTATTGGATATAGCTATAGTGTCGTGTCTATTGGACATATCTATAGTGTCGTGTCTATTGGACATAGCTATAGTGTCGTGTCTATTGGACATATCTATAGTGTCGTGTCTATTGGACATAGCTATAGTGTCGTGTCTATTGGACATAGCTATAGTGTCGTGTCTATTGGACATATTCTATAGTGTCGTGTCTATTGGACATAGCTATAGTGTCGTGTCTATTGGGCATAGCTATAGTGTCGTGTCTATTGGGCATAGCTATAGTGTCGTGTCTATTGGACATAGCTATAGTGTCGTGTCTATTGGATATAGCTATAGTGTCGTGTCTATTGGACATAGCTATAGCTTCGTGTCTATTGGACATAGCTATAGTGTCGTGTCTATTGGACATAGCTATAGTGTCGTGTCTATTGGACATAGCTATAGTGTCGTGTCTATTGGACATAGCTATAGTGTCGTGTCTATATTTTGGATATACTCTTAGTGTACATATAATGCCATGTTGTAGGCTTGTCTTACCTTTCCTGTGTCATCTCCTGCATCATCACCACCGTCTTGTCTTGGCACTTGAGTGCAGTGAACACAATTACCGTGTATCGATGCAACTAAACCCAACACAACCAAAGGAAAGAAAACTTCAACCATAGTGTCTGTTGTTAAGCGTTTGTGTTGAATTGAAATGAATTGAATTGGCTTGTGGTTCTCGTATTTCTACTTAATATCGTACGCATAAATTTCATTACCTCGCGTAGTTTTAATCCTGATCATTTGAGTTATATTAAAGTATTACAGAACACGAACAAAAGATGCGATATACATGTAAATGTGTCTTATTTCATCCGTTTATTACCCATTCATTTATTCATTCATTCATTCATACATTTATTCATTCATTCATTCATTCATTCATACGTTCATTCGTTCATTTATTCAATTATTTATGTTAGATAATAATGATCCATAACGTGTAAATAAAGTTATATCAATACTTTAAAGTCGAACTTGAAAGTGAACTACAATTATATGAGAAGCCATCACGCTTCATGAGACGCCTATTCCATGGGCCGTGTAACGGACTGGGAAAGTGCTAATTGCCAAAGATTGTTGACAAATTAAATAACTAGTACATTGCACATAGTTGATAAATATTACGTCACTAATCACACTATATATATGTAATAATCTGTGATATGAATAGAATGAAAACGTAAATTGGACAACTTTGTATTAATCATTCCAGTAAGCGACTTTATTATGACAGGGTTTCGTTTCATTACTGTCTTAAAAGTTTCGTCAATTATGCATATTCAGAAAATGCGGTGTAGTGTTATTGCACCCCCGTCGTTTATGCCACACACAGACAATGTTAAAATTTAATTTTTGGTTAATATTATATTATTAATATATCATCATACACTACTAATCCTGAGACAGTTATAATTTTAAAAAATCATTACACACCACGAACCTTTAATATAAATGTTAATTGGATTTTTCTATACCTTGCTTTGTGTTATTATGCGTATCATAATTATTAGTCTAGTCAATATTATGATGATGTATTGTCTCACATTATAATTAAACTCGCCATAGACGACAATCTTGAAAAGCACGGCTATTTTATATATAGATACAAGGAGTCTCAATATTTTCAAATAATTAAACAGAGTGATGTGTATAGTTTTTAAAATCAAATAGTAAATATCACCATAACCCCTGCCCTCCCCCCCAAAAAATAACTACACTTTCAATATTTGAAAAGATTACTCAACTGACTTTTCACTCTAAATGTATCAGTCCGCCATTCAAAAAGGGCGCACATATATGGTAGGTGTACCTACGTATTTTTAGTGAATGTTACCTAATAGCGATGACCACCTCGGACTCAGGAGCTAAACCATCGCATGTCCTGCAACGCGTCTTTAATATATATATTACCTCATATCGTACTAATCCTAAAACAATTAAAAATAAAATATTGCAGCACACGAATACGGATATTTATTTTAATATATATGTGTAAAATATTAGGTGGATATTACAGGATTCCATTAATTTCGTATTTGTCATCGCTTTAATAATTTACATTGGCATTAAATAGCGACTCAACTATTGAAAATACGACCTCTAACATATGTGTTCTTGCGGATTCGGGTGGAGTTACCTCCTAAATTCACGTCATCGAAAGATACTTTAAAAGTGCGGTCACGTGGTTGGTGTTTAATTAACTAATGAACTGATAACAGGATGTACACAAGATCTTTTCGTATTTATGTAAATTAGCCATTTCCCAGTGTCCAATGCAATTATTTGCATAATCGGAATTCAGCTTCACCGTGAATTGATATGCTCGTATGGACATGTTTTGTAAAGTAGATTACAATAGTCTAATTTTCGCTCACTGTGAGATCCCGCGCCATGCGTGAATCGAATGTAGCAGGATAAACAAAGACTCGTAAACACATTGAGTGGGATTCAAAAAACGCGAAAATATTGTTGACGTATTTACACGATTAGTAATGTTCTATGCAAATTTGATGATGTTTTTTTTTATGAAGTTAGGGTATCTCAACGCCATACCCCCCCCCCCCAACACACACACGGCGTTTTGACAGCGAGCTATAAAAATATTTTAAAAAAATCAAGTTCAAAATCAAATCATTCGATTTTTAGCAGACGTTCGGTCCGCGCCTTTTCCGCAATGTGCGGGATCTCGCAGTGAACAGAAAAACATCTATTATATAATTTGAAACAATCATAGTGACAACAACAACAACAACACAGCCACCACCACGTATGCATCACTGTTTATTACTATTAAGTTCCCACACATCTACTACTCTAAGAGTTTACAAACATTCGACTTGATTCACGATAACAATTGTTACATAATATTCAGTATTGTTTTGAAGTTATTATTAGGAGAAAGTGTATTTCCCGCGACGGCATGAAATAAATTAGTCGCACAATTAATGTATTCAAATCACCCATAAGTCGATAGATATCATCAAGCAAATCATTTCTGTTCTCTACATAATATCAACAATCTTTAGAAGTATGTGTCTCTGATGTTCAATACCGTACTATGGACAACTGAAATAAAACAAAAAGTGAATGAGCGTGCATATAGGTTTGGCCGCGTTACTATTGACTGAACGCATGCAACAAGAAATGTACATGGATTTTAGTGACATTATTATTCCACCGATAAAAACACTGGGATTATTTTTATAGGACTGGCAATCAAAAGAGTGTGAAATGCATAAAGATGTTTTCAGAAGTATAAATAATGATAATAATTTTACTTATCCTGGGTGACCATCGTAAGGACAAGATTATAAAAAAACGAACATAGCATCTTAATGAAGTTCAATACGTCTCAAAACTGTAGCTTATTTCAAGTTCTTAAACATCACAACAGAGGGCGTGGTATACCGACATTTTAAGATGATTCTCGCATCACGATTTTAAGGTCAGTATCACAATTACACATATTACATTGCAAAAAGTCTATCAGAGGTAATACTATGCTTTTAAATAATAACTTGGCAGTATTTACAGTAAGTGTTCGGCGAATACGTTTGAGAAAGTCAAGTTTCCTAGAGATTCGCCTGCAGATAATATCAATATGCTCAAATTGTCATCAAAAATGACACCCAATATTTTTTCTTCCAAGCCGTAAGACCATGGAACATACGGAAGCGTTTTCCACGTGTGACAGTTTCCCTTGATGGAGTGACATTAATTTTTTTTTTTTTTTGACCACCAGTGTCAAGTAGGCAGTTTAATATTACCTGCCAGGTACTTCCCAGCTATGGCCTAATTCTTGTGCGTTATCAGTGAACGATCCATTGGCCAGAAGATAGGGGAGCTTTCCTTCAATGTGTACGTAATCCTCTGGTTGCTTATGACCGAGCATACCACACACTTTTCCTATCAGATCTGAATCTTTGTGGATACCAACAAACAACCGATTGCGGTTGTTACGGGCATTCTTGGACCATTCAATCCACCACTTGCCAGAAGCGGAGAAAATGATGTCTGTGCCGTTACTGACAATCTGAACACCGACAAGCGCATCTTGCGTAAGTACACTAGTTGTGACGAGTACTCCATTCAACTGTGTTGAATAAATAAAAAAAAAGAAATTGTTGGCATGAATTTTTAATCAACTGTATTTCCAGTAGCTACAGTATACAGCATCTATGCAAGCTCAGGTCAAATATATTATGTTCATTTTGTTATATCTAAGCTTTCAGAACATGTATGACTTACCCTAATTACAATACACGCTATCGTTACGCTAATCTTCAATGATAGTGTACCTCGTTTACCCTAATTGAATTTGTTTTATCCTGGGAAACATGCTCGGGTATTAGTATAAATTATCGTAAGAACAACTGTGATATCCCCGTATTTCTATTTTGACTTCAATAATATTCTGCGGTACAACCACGCAATATCGTTTGACCTCGGTGCTATTTTTTAACCCATTGCAGATTAATCACATACAAATCGAAATTCCAAATCCAGGGATAATATATTTGTTCTTCAACTTTGACAGTGTTGATCAGATCACTATTAATATCACGTGATTACTGTCGATATTGAGAACAAACTTAAAAGAACTGCGCTACCATGAGCGAGATAACGTCTTGTTTACTTTAGAATAGTCCATCATGGCCTACTGTCTCGGGCGATTCCATTTTCCATTAATATTCTAGAAATGTGCACATTCGAAATTGTTTGCAAATTTAACATACAAATTCTAATTTAACACAATACCAATACTACTTCCCATAATGTCATACGCTATCGCAATATTATTGTTGTTATCACGATATTAGCTGCGAATAATCTCTAATTAGGAATTAATTTATGCACGATAAAATAGCATTTATACCATTATCACTCCATTGTCTCTAAGATCAAGTACGTGCGCACCAGTGGTTACTTTCGCACTCTCTATACGACGGACATCGTTGTTTACAAATCGACTGATCACTTCACCGTGTGTTGAAATAACTTTCAGATCAAAGTCAGACGCAACACAGGTCTCTGTGAGAACGTAACTGCATGGACCATTAAATTCTAGATGGTTCTTGTCAAAGGTTACATAATGCGGATCACCTTGACCGCTGCCCGGGTCACATGGGCAATCTGAGGGCAAGAAATAAAGCAAGTTTAATAAGAGTAAATTATATTACAATTAGAGTCGAACAGGGCGCGGCGCGACGTGAAGTTCCCATGACTTCCATGATGGCGGTCATCAGCTTGACATTAGGATATTTTCAAAAGACTACGAATTCAAAGTACGTAATTTCGATAAAATCTTACCGGTCGATATTGTGAAATTTCCCAATCGCTGGAACCCTTCAATACTCTGTAGCTTACTGTCAATGTGACATTTGGTACACGGGTCGAAAGGACCCAGCGTGATGGTGAACGTCGGGACACCGCTGAATGAAAACCATGGATTTTGGCTAATTTTTGACCAACCAGGAATATCGTTTGGGTCTGTGTAATGCCGCGTTTCCAGCCAACCCTCTTTGAATTTCATAGTGATATCCATTGCCCAAAATGAAATATATTCGCATGTTGCGAAAATCACATACGCAATTACTGTTCCTGTTGACAAAAATAAAATAATACAAATTAGTATTCAGACACGATTGTTTCATCACAATATGCATTAACGAAGTATGGATACGTGTTTGTTATGATGAAGGTGACTATTATATAGATGAAAAAGATGGAAATCTCATCAACATCTATCGGGAATTCATCCGCGGTGGCCAACACGACTCTGTCACCTCGAGTGAAGCGAAGAGTTACTTGAAAGATTTCACTACATGATTGGCACATAAAACGGTAACTGGTTGAAGAAAAGAACGACATCAAAATGAATGTGAAACAACACGTTTTTTTTTTTTTTTAGAAACCATCGCCGGCTGATACTGATGAAAATAGAACCCATAAAATTACGCGAATACAATAAAACTATGATAACCCGAAAAAACATACTCTAAATTTCCGACTACTATTATCATAAAATCAAAAAGCACTTATTACGCCTATGTGATCGCCATTTGTAGATTGTTTCAATATAACAATTAGAAAGTCATTTGCTATTTGTTGCGACAACTGTAACAAATGCAATTGGTAAATATACGCATAGTATCGGCGCTGTCATTCGAGACAGAAGGAGGAATAAAAGAGGCACACACACACATAATGAAACGATAGAAACATCGTTTTGCTATGAGTCATACGAGGCCAAATTACATTAGCACAGCCAATTGGTCCACACTACACATCGGTGATGCTTATGCGTTCTATACAAAGTATTTACCATACCGGTGGCAGAAGGGGCACGTGGTACATATGAGAAAAATAAACTAGTATAATCACTACCTGCAGGTAAAGGTATCAGATCAAGTTGCCGCTTGCCAACACCGGTAGCATTTACATCATAGGTTTTCAGAAGTTCGTCTAAGGGTATGATTAGTACCTGTAAGTAAATGATAAAGATGTGGAATAACATATTTGACAGATATCAAGAGATTATTAACGATAAAAGTAAATAGGGAGAATAAAAAACAACCAATATAGCGGTAATGAAATGGTATGGTGTCGAAATAATTTTATTTGTTATTTTAAGTAAAACGATTTTAACGTTGTGATTGACATGGAGTCTGAGATTAATGTGAATATCTTGTTGACTAACATGGTGTCTGTACTACACTGTGAAACTCTCTTTGACTGTCATGGTGTCTGTATTTTACTACGAACACCTTTCTGACTGACATGCCTTTTGTACTGTACTGTACTGCACTACATTACAACACTCTCTTTAACAGACACGGCGCCTGTTCTGCGCTGTAAAACTTTCGTTGACTGACATGACGTATGCCCTGCACTTCAAACCTCTATACTGCATTGTGGAACTCGTGTTGATCGCATGGCATGGTGTATGTATCTAGTCTGTACTGCACTGTGCAACTCTCGTTTTATGTCGTGGCGTATGTGATCAGGTGCAGATAAGCAGTTGCTTAACGAAAAAGCAAGATGATTTTTAGAGCACAGGGGGGGGGGTATTATCTATTTTTATGGGCAGGGGAACATTTTGTACCTTTTAAAGACAGGAATTATGTTTTTTGAGGTAGGTTTTTTTTCTGCCAGGAGGCATTGTAAAACTTTAGTGATGGTGGATCTTACTAGATTTTGTGTTTGATTAATCAGAGAGTAAATCTGATATAAAATAAGGAAATACAATATAAATTTCCAGGCAGAGGGAGGATTTCACAAACACATTTTATGGGCATGGAGCAACTTTGCTAAAAATGTGGGAGGGAAGGAGACTTTCCAATAGATGTGGGGATGGAGGGGAGTTGAGAAATGCTCTAGCCAGATGGCAAGTTATAATCAGCTTTAAATGCCCCTCTTGGGTCTAAATTAATCAGTCCAACTTTCTAGATCTGTAAAATGTATTTCGTCACGAAAAGAACATTTGTTAAGGCACACCACTCATTGGCTGGACGCGTGTACAACACTGTGAAACTCATTGTGACTGGCATGGCGTCTGTATTGCACTATGAAACTTTCTTTAACCGATATGGCCTCTCTAGTGCACCGTGGATCTCACTTTGCGAACTTGGTGTACGTACTCAGTCGCACTGCACTGTAAAACTCTCGTTGATAGCCATGTACTGCACTCATATGTGAAACTCTTTCTTTTCGTGACTTTGGCATCTGTACTGCACTGCAAAACTGTCGTTAAATGCTTTGGCGTCTGTACTCTACCATGAAACTGTCTATGACTAACTGACATGATGTCTGTACTGCTTTGTGAAACAAGCTTTGACTGACTGACTGAAATGACATCTGACATGACGTCTGTGCTGCTCTGCAAAACTCGAATTCTATTATGAGCCACGAAAACATGCATATCCACTATAACCCCCTGGACTATAACGAAATTAATTTCGCTCGTATAGTTTTTATTTACCGATGTTGAACAGATTTATTCACAGTTATATATATTTTTCAGTTAGCCCCTGAAATTAAAATCGGATTTGGAATCTCCCACTGTTTAAATTATGATTAATTCTAGATATCTTACCGGTTCGCCATCCTCTTCGGTTGGTACTTCTGTTCTCGTAACAATTACTTTACCATTGACTTCATTAGAATGTATGGCAGCAAATATGCAGAAAGCGGTGAGAAATAAAAATAACTGACCCATAGCCGGAGATGTTGTTCCCACACAATGACTACTAGTAGGCAGATACTGTGCTCATGACTTTTATTCTGATACGTCAGAGGCGATATGTTATTAGAGGCCATTGTCATGTCCATATGTAATTATTATCATAAGGAATATCTTACAACAATAATATAGCAGAACACAAACCAACGTCATTTGTTGTTTTGTCACACATTTGCACTGCCATGTCACTTACTAAAATAACAAACACATTCAGACTTTACACCCTGGTTCGTAACTCGCTCTTCACTTACCGCTGAAAAGTTCAAATAACTAAATAATCCGTAATTTCAGTAAATTGTTTTTTTTTTCACGTCAATAATCGTTATATTATATATAAATAATAATAATTATTGTCAATATTGTTTCATCTCATTTCAATAAATCGATGCTCGTACTAAGAACAAAAAAAATAAACAAGCAGAATTCAATACTGCTCACTGTTTTGTCAACTAAATCAGTGCGCTATATTCCAATACTGCTGGTTGGGGCCAATCACTGCAACTGAGAACATGGAATGATTGTAATGCATGCGCAAAACAAACAAAAAGACAAAGGAACGGGAGAAAATAAGATGTGTTTGCTTTTGTTAACCTGATTAGAAAAAATAATATACTGGTAAAGTATAAAAAAAAACGTCAATTTGAAAAATAAAATAATAACTTTCCTTGAGACGACGTATCGATATTGATCTATTGTTCATATATTTTTAATTGATTATCTATATTTCTTTCTTTTATTCAATTATATATATTTCAGTTTTTTCCAACGCATGCGAGATATAAGGTCTCAAATTCCAGCCAGACATGATACATTAAACAATATTTTAACACCGGTGTTATTTTCAAAAATTTAAATAACAACACCCTTATGTGCTGTAAAATTAAACATAAAAGAAGATAGAGTTCTCGGAAATATAAGCTGATGCTACATCTATGATATATAGCAGTCAATATCTGGAAATCGATGTCTATAGTAAATTTGCAGAACAGCTAGACGTTTCTAACAATAGCTATTTAAGAAAAATGTTTAAAAAGAGAAGACAAGGCGAACAATATGACACTTCCAGATATGAGAGTTCCATATATACACGGGAATGCAATTTAGAGCTTTTACAGGTCACCTTTCGTGCTATAATTAGTATACTTTGTCCATCATTTTGATTTTCCAGGACTTTATTGTGGGTAAAATGGCAAAACAACATCTGTTGCAAAAACACTATAAAAAAAAGAATTTCATGTATAACTTGAGAAATGCTGATGCAAATTAGCATAAATTGTCAAGTGTGCATATTAATCATGTATATAATTATAATTATAGAAATTAAACACAAGTAAAGATATTGCCAGAAATAAAATGTTCGTTGAAAATAGAATAGCACTTTTTTGTTTCCTTTTTGCGGTCGAACGGATATACATAACCCGTATAAGCTTCTCTTATTGATGGATTAATTGTATGAAATATACGAAGAATTTAACAACAATTCACATGAATAATTTCAGTTACACTTTAAACGACAATGCGCGTAATTGTACATGTAGACAGAACATATGAGCACACATATAAAACAAAAGCAAAAGGGATGTTTTCAGTTTCAGGGCGAAATATACAGTTTTCCCTTCGACGCGCCTGTGGTGTTTTTCGTTGTCATGTCACATATATTATAAATGGATATATCTGTAATGTTACGTCCTAAAATTAAAATGAAGTGGATCTTAATAAAAATGATTTCCTTATGTAGTTGGTGATAGATGTTCAGCAAACCGATCTCCAAGTCGATCTACTGTGAAACCACTGTGTTAATTACCTGAAATTCAATAAACAACATTGCTAGTAATACAACTTAATTGACAATAACTCCCATGATACCAAATACATGATTAGAATATGTAATAATGAGTCGAATATCAGCGTGGCGCGTAGCCTGAATTTCATTAAACATAGACTTAACAAGAATAACATTCAGTCTCCAACCAGGTTGGTAATTATAACGTAATATATATGTATATTGTATTTCTAGCAATATATGATGCAATATATATGTGAGCAAACAAGATGCATTTCTAGCAATATATGATGCAATATATATGTAAGAAAACCAGATGCATTTCTAACAATATATGATGCAATATATATGTAAGAAAACAAGATGCATTTCTAACAATATATGATGCAATATATATATGCGAGCAAACCAGATGCATTTCAAGCACTGTGTTATGCAATATATATGTGAGCAAACCAGATGCATTTCTAGCAATATATGATGCAATATATATGTGAGCAAACAAGATGCATTTCTAGCAATATATGATGCAATATATATGTGAGCAAACAAGATGCATTTCTAACAATATATGAAGCAATATATATATGCGAGCAAACCAGATGCATTTCTAACAATATATGATGCAATATATATGTGAGCAAACCAGATGCATTTCTAACAATATATGATGCAATATATATGTAAGAAAACCAGATGCATTTCTAACAATATATGATGCAATATATATGCGAGCAAACCAGATGCATTTCTAGCAATGTGTTATGCAATATATATATGAGCAAACCAGGTGCATTTTTAGCGATATATGATGCAATATATATATGAGCAAACAAGATGCATTTCTAGCAATATATGATGCAATATATATGCGAACAAACCAGATGCATTTCTAGCAATATATGATGCAATAGATATGTGAGCAAACAAGATGCATTTCTAGCAATATATGATGCAATATATATGCGAGCAAACCAGATGCATTTCTAATATATTATGCAATATATATGTGAGCAAACCAGATGCATTTCTAATAATATATGATGCAATACATATGCGAGCAAACCAGATGCATTTCTAGCAATGTATGATGTAATATATATGCGAGCAAACCAGATGCATTTCTAGCAATGTGTTATGCAATATATATGCAAGCAAACCAGATGCATTTCTAGCAATATATGATGCAATATATATGCGAGCAAACCAGATGCATTTCTAGCAGTGTGTTATGCAATATATATGTGAGCAAACCCAGATGCATTTGTAGCAATGTGTTATGCAATATATATATATGAGCAAACCAGATGCATTTTTAGCGATATATGATGCAATATATATATGAGCAAACAAGATGCATTTCTAGCAATATATGATGCAATATATATGCGAACAAACCAGATGCATTTCTAGCAATATATGATGCAATAGATATGTGAGCAAACAAGATGCATTTCTAGCAATATATGATGCATTATATATGTGAGCAAACCAGATGCATTTCTAGCAATGTGTTATGCAATATATATGTGAGCAAACCAGATGCATTTCTAACAAAATATGATGCAATATATATGCGAGCAAACCAGATGCATTTCAAGCACTGTGTTATGCAATATATATGTGAGCAAAGCAGATGCATTTTAGCGATATATGATACAATATATATGTGAGCAAACAGGATGCATTTCTAGCAATATATGATGCAATATATATGTAAGAAAACCAGATGCATTTCTAACAATATATGATGCAATATATATGTAAGAAAACCAGATGCATTTCTAACAATATATGATGCAATATATATGCGAGCAAACCAGATGCATTTCTAGCAATATATGATGCAATAGATATGTAAGAAAACCAGATGCATTTCTAACAATATATGATGCAATATATATGCGAGCAAACCAGATGCATTTCAAGCACTGTGTTATGCAATATATATGTGAGCAAAGCAGATGCATTTCTAGCAATATATGATGCAATATATATGTAAGAAAACCAGATGCATTTCTAACAATATATGATTCAATATATATGCGAGCAAACCAGATGCATTTCAAGCACTGTGTTATGCAATATATATGTGAGCAAACCAGATGCATTTCTAGCGATATATGATGCAATATATATGCGAGCAAACCAGATGCATTTCTAGCAATATATGATGCAATAGATATGTGAGCAAACAAGATGCATTTCTAGCAATATATGATGCAATATATATGCGAGCAAACCAGATGCATTTCTAACAATATATGATGCAATATATATGCGAGCAAACCAGATGCATTTCTAGCAATGTGTTATGCAATATATATATATGAGCAAACCAGATGCATTTTTAGCGATATATGATGCAATATATATGTGAGCAAACAAGATGCATTTCTAGCAATGTGTTATGCAATATATATATATGAGCAAACCAGATGCATTTTTAGCGATATATGATGCAATATATATATGAGCAAACAAGATGCATTTCTAGCAATATATGATGCAATATATATGCGAACAAACCAGATGCATTTCTAGCAATGTATGATGCAATATATATGCGAGCAAACCAGATGCATTTCTAGCAATGTGTTATGCAATATATATATATGAGCAAACCAGATGCATTTTTAGCGATATATGATGCAATATATATGTGAGCAAACAAGATGCATTTCTAGCAATGTGTTATGCAATATATATATATGAGCAAACCAGATGCATTTTTAGCGATATATGATGCAATATATATATGAGCAAACAAGATGCATTTCTAGCAATATATGATGCAATATATATGCGAACAAACCAGATGCATTTCTAGCAATATATGATGCAATAGATATGTGAGCAAACAAGATGCATTTCTAATAATATATGATGCAATATATATGCGAGCAAACCAGATGCATTTCTAGCAATGTATGATGCAATATATATGCGAGCAAACCAGATGCATTTCTAGCAATGTGTTATGCAATATATATGCAAGCAAACCAGATGCATTTCTAGAAATATATGATGCAATATATATGCGAGCAAACCAGATGCATTTCTAGCAATAAATGATGCAATATATGCGAGCAAACCAGATGCATTTCTAGCAATATATAATGCAATATATGCGAGCAAACCAGATGCATTTCTAGCAACATATGATGCAATATATATGCGAGCAAACCCATATGCATTTCTAGCAATGTGTTATGCAATATATATGTGAGCAAACCAGATGCATTTCTAACAATGTG